CCAAGATTGAACTGCCATATTATCTGATTAATCGATAAGTAATCCTGCAATATTTCATCTTTAGCCACGGCTCTCATCCACGTTGCAGCTCCGCGAAATCATAGTTAACAGAGGGATGGTTTGGAAACTCACATTAAACCTCATTAATTATCTATGTTGTTCAGATTTATGCAAAATGTGGTCTTTCATCGTCACGTGCGTATTGTATTTTTCGCAAGTTAACCAATAGGAATGTTCAAAATTACCTATTGTTAAAGTCACGAATGGGCAACTGAACAAAACCGTTGCTATTAGCCGGTTGAGCAAAAATACAATACGCACGTGACGATGAAAGACCACATTCTTGCATAAACCTGAACAAAAACAAAGATAATGAGGTTTATTGTAATGCTAATGAGTTTCCAAACCAGATCTCGATCGATCCTCTTTTAACTATGGCGAAATGTCCCTCCGTTGTCCAAGTATAGAGTCGCTCAGGTCTCCCTCCTCGTTCAACGAATCGTTTCAGGCTTAGGAGGAAGTCGGTCGTTTCCAACGTACGTAGGGAACAGTTTCATGTAAATTCCTCTGGTTAACTACAGGAATAGACGGCAGTTAATGTTTTCCCTTCCTTTTGCTTGCATACTTGATATCGCAGAGGATCGACATAGTCTACTCCAATTACTTGCAGGGCCGTAGCTAGACCGATAATTGGGGGGAGGGGGGTGGGTTGCATATTCATATATTCGTGTTCTGCCCGACGGATTTCTTTTGAAAGCCATTGTTTTTACGGTATGTAAACATGAATATATGAATATACACACCCCAATTATCGCGTCTAGCTACGGCCCTGATTACTTGGTAGGGGGTGATTCCTTGGGTTCGTGCATGCTGGTGGTAGGATCCCTGGTGGTGGTGTTGCATAAGCAGTTGCTGTAAATATCTTGCACCCATGCAGCTATTGCGTACTTTTCTAACCAGTCTACTTAGGCATTACGAGGTATGCTTCTTCATGATCAACGACTTCGTGGGTGAACTGGTCGGTGTCTGGAAGGTACGTGGGGTACTCTCCCTGAATCCGACCAGGACATTCCAACACGCCATCGCTACCAGGTTGTAAATTCAGCGCAGTGCGGTCTTGTTCGAGATCGCAATTTCGCTTGTTTAATTAATTATTTTAAGATCGCTTGTTTAATCAATTATTTTAATTGAATAATTGTCTTGCTTAATCCAAAATTGTGTTTAGCGTTCAGTTTCGTCCGTCCCTTGATGCGTTCTGTTCCTCGACTACGAAGCGAGTTGGGGCAAATCTTCGGATCCACGGACACACTCTTACAGCTTTCTGTAAAGGAAATTCCTGTAATACGTTCTTTTTGACGACTACAATTGTGAATAATTGCTTCACTGTTCTGGCTTCGGCATTGCTTTCTGCCGTTGACTCATTTACTATGTCTTCTGGCCAAAGTTCTGGGTTAGACAGCCATTGAGGACCATCCCACCGCAAGTCTGCATTGTCTACTTGGCCTCCTCTACGTGCAAGGTCAGCAGGGTTGAAAGCTGAGGCGTGTCGCTACACAACTCCTTGGTTGCTCGTTGATCCGGTTTGCCACGAACAGCTGTTTGTACTCGCCGCCCCCCCCCCCAACCCAATGCACAACCGCAATGCACTAATGCAACTACCGAGCTGTCCGACCAACATTGAACTTTCGTAACAGGAAACCTGATCAATGCCTCCTTTACATTTGAAGCCAAGTTGACTGCCATGTGCGCCGCTAATACCCTATCAGTTCAAGCCTCGGAATCGTTAATCCTGGCTTCGGTAGTCTTGATCTCGCCAGTGGCGTAGCCAGAACGATAATTGGGGGGGGGGACATATTCATATATTCGTGTTCACATACCATAAAACAGTTGATTTCAAAAGAAATTAATAAAGCAGAACACGAATATATGAATATGCCTCCCCTCAATTATCGTTCTGGCTACCCCACTGGATCTCGCCGCGACTAGGCCTTCCATGGTTGGTCCACTAGTCTTCTCAACTACGGTATAGACACATGTCGCACCCCGTTAGGGTGTGTATGGCTTCAATTGGCTGTTGATAAACTGCCATGATCTCTCCGTGTCCACTTATACTGGAAGTAGAACGGTACTCTCTTTGCTGGACAAGGCTACTGCCAGAAGTGACAACCCGAATACATACATTAAATGAACCTTGGATTACCCCCAGAATAAAGACACTGGTCAAAGCAAGACAAAAGGCTTTTTCTCGAGGTGATAAAGTCAAATATGACAAAGATCTCAAAGCTAATTCAAAATGCAAAAGAATCGTCTATCATACTCAAGGGAGAAATCTCCATCAAAAAGATCCCGGAAAATGGTATAAAATTGTTTAATACTCTGTTGGGTGCTGAAACGAAACATAACTCTTTCAAATCTCATCTAAGGAAGTCCTGTCTGAGGTTGCTGAAAACCTACAAACTAACCGCTTTTACTAACTCATGGAAAGATGTCAATGTTGACCTCCCGGACATAAATGAAGTTAACCACTTACTTTAGTCCCCACAACTGACTTCCCTCGGACAGGTACGGTCCTGCCTTAAACACCTTAATCCAAAGAAAGCAGCAGGGATAGATAAAACCCCCGCCTGGTTTTTAAAACACTACTGTGACGATCTCACGCCAACGATACATAGTATCGTAACCAGTAGCATTACTCAATCCAAAATCCCACTGCATACAAGCATGCAATTGTAACTCCGGTACCAAAGATACATCAACCCAAAGATGTAAACAACGACTTCAGACAAATTTCGGTACACCCCTCTAGCAAAATTGTTAGAGAAAGTACAATTGGAACTCAACTTTCACTATTTGGAAATAAAGGAAAACCAACATGCCTTCGCTAAAAATTGATCTACGGTTTCAGCCGTGATCTCGATGACCTAAAATTGGTTTGATGCAACAGATAACTCCAATACCGGAAGAAATGGGGTCCATGTTACTTTCTTGGATTTCAAAAAAGTTATTGACCTTGTCGACCATGGAATCTTATTGATCCCATCAAAGGCTTTCTGGACATGATTGAAGAGCTTCCTTACAGATCGGACTGAACAAGTGAATTTGCATGGTGTTATGTCTTCAAATGCCCCCTGCCCACTTGGCGTTCCGCAAGGCGCCGCCATTTCCCCAACTCTATTCAATATTCATATGCATGATTTGGAAGACACGACAACAACCTTACAAATACGCACAAGTATGCGGATGACTGCATCATTGATGAAGTAGTTGCGACGGAGTCCTCTCAAACATGCAGGAGTCGACAAATCAAGTGATGAAATGGGCCAATGATAATAAAATGACGGTAACTTCAAAGAAAACAGAGGACATGTGGATCAGTTTCCCAATTTACCATGTTCATTATTAAAATAATAATAAAATAATAAATCCTCTCCTGAACCTCCACCCACACAAACAGACGGAAATGAAATAGAAAGAGTAAACACCTTCACACTTCTTGGTGTATAGATGGAAAACGACTTAAAGTGGATCACCCATGTTCGCAAAATTACAAAATGAGCAAACAAATTATTATTCCTTCTTCGAAAATGTAGGAAATCCTCCCTACCACCCAGGATTGGGCTACTGGCATACACGACGAAGATTCGGCCAATACTTGAATACGCTTCGCCATTCTTGGGGGAATCTCTCGAAACAGAAATTGAACGTGTTCAACAAAGAAGCCTGAGAATCCTAGGACTGGAGAAAGATACCCTCCCCATACTGAAAGAAAGAAGTGAAAAGCAAACATACAACGAGGTCGGGAAGAAAAGAGTCGTGGAAGTCCCAAACAGCCCATGTAACCGTTATCTAGCCAGTACAAAGAATCAACTTACGAACTGAGAAGGACCAGAGACAGCTTTCTAAACAGTTCCAAGGGCGTGCACATTATCAAATTCATGAACGATATGACTTTTACTGTATATTTTCAACTTTAAATGTTTTACACCTTTCATTAGGTTTACATATATAAGAGACATTGTAAATTACACTTAATCATTGTAGGCCTACTTGTAGCATTCGTTTTACTCTTGAATTGAATTGGATTGAATTGAAATTTCTAAGATCGTTATTTAATATGGTAGAGTGGCATTTCATGTTATTATTATTATTATTATTATTATTATTATTATTATTATTATTATTATTATTATTATTATTATTATTATTATTATTATTATTATTATTATTATTATTATTATTATTATTATTATTATTATTATTATTATTATTATTATTATTATTATTATTATTATTATTATTATTATTATTATTATTATTATTATCATTAGGAAACAAGTAACCAAATCCATTCAATATCTCCCAAAACTATTTATAAATAACTGTCTTGTACCACGTGTTGAACTTGGTAAATCGTTTCGCTACTTAGGTCGCTATTTTGATTTCAACATGTCCGACGAAGATCACAAATCTGAAGTATATGACACACTTACTAATATCCTGAATGAAATTGATGATCTACCATTACATCCGAAAAACAAAATTCTCTTATACAGTCGTTATGTGCTTTCCAAAATCTCTTGGCACTTCACTGTTTCTGACATAGGCAAAACCTGGGTTAACGATAAACTAGATAGTATCGCGTCCACGTATATCCGAAAATGGCTTGAACTTCCTATTTCTGCAACCCTTAGTAACGTCCTACTTCCCCACAATAAATTTGGATTAAATATCATTCTACCTTCAACCAAATTCCTTCAATGCCAAACTGTTTCTCGGAAAGCCCTAAAGTCGTCGAAGCGATCAATAACCTTTGGAAGGATACTAGCAATCACAAAAATGTACAATATGACAAATACAAAAACACCAAGGACGTATTAAACACCATCAGGAAACAACATGAAGACAAGCTTCAACACCACCTCATTTCACAAGGCTCATTTTTCTCCAATATCATTAAACATTCTACACTCTCATTCAACTCTATATGGTCCTCCGTTCAGAGGAAACTTCCGAAGAATATATTTAACTTCACTATCCGGTATATAAATAACACTCTTCCGACTCGCAAAAACCTTCTGAAATGGGGAATATCACCAACATCCGAATGTTCGTTTTGTTTGAATCCAGAATCACTTCTTCACGTCGTCGCTGGATGCAAGACCTACCTAAATGAAGGACGTTTCACGTGGCGTCATGATTCGGTGCTTAACTTCATAGCATCCATACTTAAATCTGTGAACCATTGTAACCTTTATGCTGACCTTCCTGGCTATATCAGTCCATCTGTTATCACCGGAGATGAATTGCGCCCTGATCTTTTGATAACACTTGAAAACAAATGTATTTATATACTTGAACTTACCGTCGGATTTGAATCTAGTCTCCTCACTAATGCAACTCGAAAAAGACAAAAATATCAAGATCTAATTAACGATCAGCTCAAAAATTATGAAAAAGTGAAATTTGTAAATTTATCGATTAGCTCATTAGGAGTTTTCAGCCACCCGTCGCTAGATTTCACCGAAATGCTGAAGGATCTAAAGTTTGATGAACAATGTAGAAAGTACTATGTTCGGAAAATTATTAATATATGTATCAGGTCCTCGTATTATATATTCTGTAAGCGTAACAAAGAATGGGATAACCCACAACTGTCATACTAATATTGTTATTATGTAGAGTGTTAATTCAAGTAGACACCGGTAAACTACCTGTAAAGAGAGGTTTATCATTGTAGTGTGTATATATATTATTGAATGTAATAAAGTTTCCATTATTATTATTATTATTATTATTATTATTATTATTATTATTATTATTATTATTATTATTATTATTATTATTATTATTATTATTATTATTATTATTATTATTATTATTATTATTACACCTACCGTCCAGATTTGCTTCTTTCAACCTCAACCGGAACACTCTATATTATTGAACTTACAGTTGGCTTCGAATCAAATCTTCAAAAAAACGTTGAGCGTAAAAAATCAAAATATAAAGAATTAATTAGGGAACAAAATGAACATTTCAACTCAGTAAAATTTGTAAATCTTTCGATTAGTTCTCTTGGTGTTTTCAGTAAAGAATGTTCTACTTTCATAGAAATGCTTAATGATTTTGGTTTTCAAAAGCAACATCAGAATTACTGTATTAGAAGAATGACGACGATTGCAATCCGAACAACGTATTATATATTTTGTTGTCGAAACAAGGAACGGATGAATCCGGAACTGTTAAGTGTTTAAACGTTGTACTGTCATTTTGTTATCTTAATAGTATAATTTTTGCATATATAATCAGTGATTTAAGTAGCCAGTTGTAAATTACCTGATATAAGTGAGATTTGCAATTGTATATATAAGCTAAATATCCATTTAATAAAGTTTTCATTATTATTATTATTATTATTATTATTAAGTCTTTATTAAAATATTTAGACACAACAAACGTGTGACTTTACATGGATGATAATGTTTCTATACATATTTACATGATTTTATAAGACTAAAATTAGAAATAGTCGCTAAAGTTAAAAAGTTAAAGTTTATATAAATTCATATTTAGAAATTATTAAAAAGACATCTATTTACAAAACATCGCTTGAACCTTTCAGTCTTGACTTGAGGGAGGATATAGTTATGATTCCGTGTCCTTAAAGTTCTTTGTTTCTTTTCTGGGAAAATTCATAAAAGAACATGTTCGGTATTTTTAGTTATTTTTCTAAATAAATCTCTGTCTTTCTCTTCAATTAGCGAAGACATATTATATTCTTTGGCCGCATACCCATTTAGACTAGCTCGTCTGAAGAATTGATCTATCCGTTTTAAGTATTTTTTTCAGGAGCGCCGAGCCCCATACTTCGATTGCGTAGGTGAACAAGGATAAAATCAGAGTTTCAAATAATTTGGACAATTGATCGCGAGGATAACCATATGATTTGCATACTCTTAAGATATACATTCGCCCACTAGCTTTAGACAGTCGACCATCCACATGCAAATCCCAACAACAAGGGTCATCTTGAAAGCTGACACCAAGACGTCTGAGCCATTTCTTCCGTTCAATCCCACCAATTGGAGGAGGTTGCTGTTTCAGTGATCCCTTACTAGCTTATAACCATTTCCCAAGTTTTGGATAGATTTAAGGTCATTCTATTTTCATCCGCCCAATCTCTAATATTTTTAACTTCATTAAAAGCTGTGTCGCCAGTAGTTTTAACCAATGGTTTTAACCGGTGCACTGACTGTCTTATCATCCGCAAATTTGACCAACATGTTATTATCAGGATCTTTTGGTTTTATATCATTTACCATCAAAGAAAACAAGAAAGGGCCCAGTACAGTACTTTGTGGCACACCTCTATTAATGTCAACATATTTCGTTTCAATTCCATCAACCACAACTCTTTGTTTTCGATTCGATAGAAAATTAGTAATCCAGTTTATGATATATTGGTTTAAATCAGTTGCTTTCAATTTTTCACAAATCACGTCGTGAGTAACAGTGTCGAATGCTTTACTTAGGTCGAAAGATATAACTCGAATATAGTCGGCATCATCATCTAGCTAGCCATTTCAACCAGCTATGTTGACACTTAATAAGAGCGGTTGTACCACTTGTGCCCTCTTTGTAGGCAAATTGGTCTTCATCTATTTCCTTTTTAGCTTGAGGTGATATTTCTTGTTTGAAAACAATTTTTTTCTAAAATTCTGATTATAATATAAGTTAGAGATATTGGTCTGAGCTGGTGGCAATCCGTAAGAGGGGATTCTTTAGGAATTGGTGTAATATTAGCAAGTTTAATTTCCACAGTATAGGGGAACATATTGTTGACTAAGGGAGGAATTTAATATTTCAGTACTTTATTGGCGCCAAATATTGAGCATAATCTCTCCATTTCCAGTAAGGAAGATCGTCAGGACCAGGAGCTGTACTTTTTTGTTTCATCATGAAATGTTCGACCATAGAAACATCGACAACAGGAATACGAGTTCCTTTTGGGATTAGTAAGCGTTCTGGAGTTGAGTAATTTGTATAAGTATTTATTCTGTGGAAATGGGAATTCATGACGTTTGGATCAACAGACAAACTGAGATTGTTTGTTTTATTCCTTCTTCCGTTATTTTGTTTACAGTGTCCCACCATTTCAGCGACCCTTGTTTATGTTTTCTGTTCTCCTCATTGACGGATCGAATTTGATTTGATCGAATTAACTAAATGATTCGCTCTTGAATATCAGGATTCATCCCTGTTTTAATTTGTTTGTTACGTTTATTGCATAAATGTTTAACCAATGGTGACATATAAGGTGGATCAGGTGTAGACACTTTAATTTTAATCACGTGTAGATACATAATTGAACATGTTATAAGTCTTCATGCTACCATCCCAGTAGACCTACGTACGTCACAGGCTGACAGCATATTAACATGCCTATTTTTATTTTGATATTGTGGTAGAGTCTGAAAATTTGTGCTTTTGCTTGTCGACCCCAAGCAGCGCTACCTAGATCAGGGTAGTTGATTTTGATTGGTCATAGTTAATTGGCTGAGTTCATATAGGCACGTAATGAAGGTCACTGCAGAAGACCAACTTCTCAAACTTCTTGGCTGTGCCTATGATTTTGCCGTGGCCGTTGCAATGCTGTCGCCGTGTTACTATAGACAAGTACTGTGCCCTCACGAGAGGCATTCAGCCCTTGAATATATTCAAAATGGCAGACGTTCAGACAGGATGATCAACGCATCTCATATATAATTAGTGAACTCGCTAGCTAGGAACATGGCGAGTGCATTTTGATGACGAATCATTACGCTTTTGTGGCTGAGTCGGTCTACTGTAACGTACAAAGTTGAAAGTATAACGTAAACAAATCAGATCGCGCTCAGGCATGAAGTGCCGTTATTTTCAACTCGATTTTGAAAATCAAAGTTCAAAGTTCGTACCATGCACGAGCTGCCGCCATAATTAATAAAAGAGATGGTTTGGAAACTCATTAGAATAACAATATTATAAATCATTATCTATGTTAGTCAACGTTTATGCGAAAATGTGGTCCTTCATCATCACTAGCCTGCTCGCAGCCTGAAATTTAGAAGGGGGAAATTTCCCCCTTCTAAATTTCAGGCTGCGAGCAGGCTACATCATCACCTGCGTATTGTTATTGTACTTTTGCCAAATCCACCAATCAAGCAACTTTTAAGTTACCCAATGGGTCAAGTCACGGATAGCTAACTTTCCTAAAACATTACTATTAGTTCATTGGCAAAAAAATACAATAAGCGCGTGACGATGAAGGACCACATTTCTGAATATTAATTAAACCTCAACAAAGATAGTAGATAAATTGAGTTACATAACTTATATTGTAATTATAATGAGGTTCCAACCCATCTCTCTTGTTAACTATGCTGCCACGAACACAGATTACCTTCATATACACTGCTACTGTTATTGTATAAAGATATGGAACAAACGGTAGGAACATAACATGATTAACAACTGTTTAAGCACCTTTTCTTTTACACCTTCTGACTCTATTTGTCAAAAAGTGTTAAATAGCAAATACTAATTACTCAATGATTCGTTTACTTTTGTGTTATTAGGCTAAGGTAGACCTAACGAAGAATAAAAGATGGGTGACACAGATGGAAACGTACTTCGATTCGGCCGACAGTAAAAAGACTGGCCATTTATCACTCGAGATGTTTGATAAATGGGCTGACAACATAAGGGATCTTGGGAAGGCCACTGCCGAAGAGATCCAAGAGGTACGAGTAACTATTCGTGACTTCTTCATAGCAGCAGGAATTCTTCCAGGCAAGCCAGCGACGAAGAAGGGATTTATCGAAGGCATGAGTCGTCTTGCTCACCATGAGCTGGAAAAGAAGCGATTGGGTGAGCCGACACTTCACGAGAAGTCGAGTAATGCCATATATGATGCCTTGGGTATAAAGAGTGATGATGTCGTAACGGTTGACGATGTAAAGGTTTTCATGAAATGTGTCGACATGGATCCAGAAGGAGCTGTACAATATTTCGCTATGGCAGATAAGGAGAAAAAAGGGAAACTTCCACGAGATGATCTAATTAAGTTAGAATTTCAATTTTGGTTTGAACCTGAAGACGAGAGCACTAAAGGCATGTATGGAGGAACTTATGAAGGCGCTGAATAAGAAAAGCGTGCCTTTCCATGCACAACTTCCAAAATAACTTTATTTATATAAGGGAATCAGACTGTCTAGAATCACTAGACACCCAATTTGAATTGTATATGCATCTGATTTGTGAAATAAATGATAATAATCATTTATATATTGTGATATACTTCGTTGATGCCGCAGCGAGCAAGCTAGCCTGCAGCGAGCGAGGAATATTAAAGGCTTTGTTTCTATTTCTGTTCACCGGAAGTTCCAACAGACAGGATGTCTGCATGTACTCCCCCATAAGCTGACAATAATTATTATTGTAGTTAGTTATACATATATGTAGTATATTGAAATTCTTTCGGAGATATCTCGTTTTCTATGTCTACATGAAGTGCAAGCTATGCGAGGTGTCCAAACTGAACATGCGAGCAGGGGCGAAACTTGAGGGGGGGAGTGACACCCCCTCCCCCCCCCTCCCCCCCAAAGTACAAATCATCTGGATTGGCAGGGCAAATCATCTGGATTGGCAGGGCAATGAAAGATTTTAAATGATAGAATGTAGAGTGATTAAGTAGATTCCAGGGCTTCCAGAGGGAATTGAATAGAATTTATAGACCTAAATTTTACAGATGTTGGTAAAAAAATAAGGGTTTCATGCATGTTTTAACAGGAATTTGTCCGAAAAAAAATTTTTGACCCTTAATTTAATTGGTTTATGTCCGGAAAAATGTTTTCGCCCCTGTTTTGAATGTCCGGAAAAATTTTTTCGACCTCCTCCCCGCCCCCACTCGCCAACATTTTTGGGAGAAATAGTGGCCAAAAAAACATTTTTGCTGTAGGGCATCATCGGCTTTCGCAGGGCAATTCTAGCAGACACCCCCTAATTAAAAGGGGCTAGTTTCGCCCCTGCATGCGAGTTACACAATCATGTGAATACGAATATCATGTGTGTTCGCAGAGAGGTTTTAAAACCTGATTCCACAACTGCGAAATTCTTTTTCGAATTTGCACACTTTTTTCGCTTTCGCAGAGAGTAGAACTGACTTCTACTCACTGGTGAAACGAAACTTTTTTTCGCGCGAAGCCTAATTTATCTTTACTGCGTATGCAGTGCTATGCACCTAATTCGTTTTGCACGAAATGTTTCGCATTTCCCGAAGAAAACGCCCGTGGAATCAGGCCTTTAAACGAATATTAAATTGCGAAAAATTTGCCGAAATCTTTTCTTATAACTATACTAGTTTTTTTACTGCTTCATATTATTCTGATGTTTAGATCATTCTAGACATTCTAGACATACTTCAGTTATAGTCTAGGACCTGTATATGAGTTTGTATGTGTTTCATTTAGGACAGGTAATCTCAACTGTTTTACTGTAAAATGACCATGGCGGTCAACATGGCATATGTGCCAAAACCTGAATCCGGGACGAAAGTCCTGAAAATGACCCCGCCCTGAAACGGCAGTGTCGACATAGCTCCAACTTCCGAAAAGGAAAAGCAATAGCCTTTCTGAAGTGCTTATAGTGTTCAGAAGGGTTGGTTTTAGAGGTGGTCATTGGGAGGAAAAGTTTGTCTAAGTATAATATTTTACAAGAAAATGACCATGCACCACCTCAGGTAAATTGCTAATTATGCACAAAATAACTAATATGCTTGGCAGAAATTAAATTTTCTTATTTCCTAAAAAAAATTATCATGGGGTGAAAAACTATGCTCAATTTAATATAATTATTGTGGATTTCATAAGGATTGCCATTATTTTCATTAAATATAATACATTTTATTTCGCTTTGAATACCACCCACGAAAACACGATTTCAGCCATACTTTGCCGTCTTGTTTGCTTTTTATCGCCGAGTCTCGCAAATATCATCCAGTTGTTGTACTTTTACATAATCATAAATGGCTGAAGAAGATTTAAAGAAGGTTTCATCAAGTTTGGAAACAGTGCAGTGTATTTTATCTCCAATATTGTGTCCTTCGATATTTCGTGAAATATGGCGCCATTGCAATGGCGCGCCCACTGAGCTATAGGGCGCGCCGCTTCTCTGCCCGATAAATGCCACTTCTTCGTCTTCCTATGTATTCAGATTACAGTATCCAGAAGTAATTCATTGTAGAATAGTCCCAATCGAAAAATTGAAAACATTAATACTCCCAATACAGTTGTCTTGTCAGAATTCAAAAGAAGTAATTTAAAAGTCACGCACAAGTTCGTGAAAACTCCTCGTGGGCTACATGACAGGGGCACAGATGATAGATAATACCAGATGAATCACTGTGTATCTATCCCTATGATTTTCGTGTCCGCGATTTTCGCGAGTCTATATATAACGCCAGATGACGCGTGCGACACTTACTGCCAAAATGGCGCTTACTGCCAAAAAGCGTGATTGCTCACGTTTCATGGCGTGGATTACACTTACTGCCAAAATGGCGGCCAACGCGCGCTCATAAAAAATCGCGGACACAATTTTGACTGAGTGAGTCATCTGGTATTATCTATCATCTGTGACAGGGGGGGGATCGATATTTTCACAAAACGAAACGTTTGTTCGCCACCACAGAAACCTCTGACAGAAACCTAAAATACACTATATTTATTGAATGTTTATTATTGATGATAAAAACAATAAATATTTGCGTATTTTTATCATCAATCATAAACATTCATTAAATATAGTGCATTTAGTAATTTAGTTAGGTTTCTGTGCAACTCGTACCCAGGGTCTTCACTTCCTCTTGGGGAACAAAGACCCTGGTAGACGCACTATCAAAATAATCCAAATATCAAATGTTTATTGACCTAATCTTGGATTGCTAATTAAAAATCTGCTAGATTTTAGCAGATCACGTGACCAGCGTCTACCAGGGTCTTTGCTCCCCAAGAGGAAAGTCCCTGGCTACGACGTTGGTTTCTGTGGTGGCGAACAAACGTTTCGTGAAAATATTCACCCCCTGTCATGTAGCCCACGAGGAATTTTCACGTGACTTTTGCGTGACTTTTAAATTATTTCTTTTGAATTCTGACAAGATAACTGTATTGGGAGGTTTTCTCGTTTCAAATACAACTAATGTAAGTAATGTTTTCAATTTTTCGATTGGGACTATTCTACAATGAATTACTTCTGGATACTGTAATCTAAATCATAGATATCTTATATACACTAGATATATAGCGCATGTCTTTTAGTAAAATTGAAGCCAAGAATATTCCAGCGGTTACCCCCATTTGAATAGATGGCGGCCATGTTGAACTTTCCCACTCGCTAACCTAATAAACGTTTAAAAAACAACATTAACTTTCATCATTTGAATAGTTTGAAAATGTATTTGGAATAGGTCTAACTTAATGTTTAGGTTCCCTGTTTAAGAAATAGAAAACATACGAGTCTTCTCATTTCATGGGAATATCCTGAGTCTGCAATCACGGCTTCAATTTTTGAATTGCAGAATAATTAGATGCATTATCTAGTGTATATAAGATATCTATGATCTAAATACATATAGGAAGACGGAGAAATGGCATTTATCGGCCATAAAATACACTGCACTGTTTCCAAACTTGATGAAACCTTCTTTGAAATCTTCTTCAGCCATTTATGATTATGTAAAAGTACAACAACTGGATGATATTTGCCAGATTCGGGGATAAAAAGCAATCAAGGCTGCAAAATATGGCTGAAATCGTGTTTTCGTGGGGGGTAAGTGAAATAAAATGTATTATTATTAGCATGACAAAATTACTGGATGCTGATTGGTTGAGAGGAGTACAATCATTTCATTAATTGTACTGCAGTACAATTAATGATTTTCCCAAAACAAACAAAATGGCGGAAAGGTATTTTAAGCACAAGCCTGAAATGAAATTGCCGTGAAGGAACTAGATGAAAATACGAACAAAAGCACCAAATTTTGCTTGAACAAAAGAACTAAATGAAAATACATATGTGGCAGAACTGGGCTTTGGCGAGAGAATATGATGTTGACATTGAGCTAGAAGTACGTATCCAATTTTGTCATGCTAATAATCAACCTCGTGCCCAGGGCATTTTGCTTCTGATCAGCGAAAATGGCCCTGGCATCGGCCGGTCACATGACCTCAAAATCTCCAGTATTTGGGGTGTTCAATTATGATAATATATGCGTATAAGTACGTATATATAATAATTATACACATTGTAATTACTGACAAGAGTAAACAAACTCAATGCTGCGTATCTCAAAGGGAAAGCAACAAAATTAGTTGAATTTATTCGGTTTTCGTTGTTCACACTTCATTCAGCAACATAGCCCGTAATATTGATGATTTTTAAACATAACGTAATAAGTAACTAAACAAAACAAAACCGCTTCAGCGTTTGGTTTATATAAATCGTGTTTAATATGACCAAAATATATTTGTATCACAATCTTTATTTGACAAAAACGCTGTATGTTTCTTCGGAAATCAACGATGTGTAAACAACGCATGTGAGAAATATATGTTGAACCGAAGCAAATACTCGTCTATACAAAATACACAGACTTAATTTGGACCAAATTGTTTTGTGATGTGTTGTCTTTCCCTAATTCATGCTGTATCTCAAGCGAAATGTCAAAAATCTTATTTGCTCAATACTTTAGTCCATCAAGAACTAATTATAAATTTGTCACTCCACTCTCGTTCCACCAAAAATAATAATTATTCCCACATATATTGAATAATTACATTCAAAATCATTGACCAATCAGGTTGCAAAACAGACCAGCCGAAGCCAGGGCCTTTTTCGATGACCATCCAACCGCGGAAGCAAAAAGCCCTGGGTACGAGGTTGGCTAATAATAAACAAGTAGTCATGCGATGTTGCTCGTACAATTAGGGATTAATAATAGTACTCGTGATGTTTGGAAATTTGCCAAATTGGACTCGCCCTGGCGGCTCGTCCAATTTTGGCAAACTGATTTCCAAACATCACTCGTACTATTAATCCCTAATTGTACTCGCCATCGCATGATTACCTATACTAATTATTGTGGATTTCATAAGGATTGTCATTATTTTCATTAAATATAATTATCATTTATAGACCCGGAGCGAGGGGATTCGGCGTAATATTTCCCGAAGTGATGATATTTTCCGAGGGGCTTTGCTCCGAGGAAAATATCATGACTGAGGGAAATATCATCGAATCCCTCGAGCGGAGGGTCTATAATTGATATATTATATTATGCCGAAAGTTTATTCTGAACTTAAAGTTCAGAATAAACTTTAAAACTTGCTGAATACTACGCGAATACAATTTTTAATTTCTTATGTATACCTGAGTTTTTGACGTTACTTCTTTGACATTTTGAGCATGTTTCCTTTGGATCATTAAAGGTAACATACGTCTTGAAAATCTTTGGTTAGGGACGGACCATTAGAAAAGTGATGGGGGGGGGGGGGGG